GGAGCCCGATGCGGGACTCGATCCAGGGACTCCAGGATCATGACCTGAGCCGAAGGCAGTCGCTTAACCAACTGAGCCACCCAGGCGCCCAGGTTCAGTTCCTTTCTACACCTGTTTTCCAACAGCTCTTGTGAACAGATGATGAATCTTACCAAATGCTCTTTCTGAACAGATTGAGAAGATAGTTTAGTTTTTCCTTTATTCTGTTAATGTGATAGGAAACATTGGTTGGTTTTTGAATGTTAAACTGTGTTCCTAGAATAAACCCCAACGTGGTGGTTGGGTTATATATTGCAGGATATGATTCCCTAATGCTTTGTTTAGGATTTTTCAATCTGTAGTCATAAGGGAGACTGCTGTGTAATTTCTTTGTCCCCCCCCCCCTTAAATGTTCTTACCAAGTTTTGGTATCAAGATTATTCTGTCCTCATAACATGAATTGTAAAGTGTTTCTTCTTTTTCTGTTCTCTGGAAGTGTTTGTTAAAGGTTGGCATTATTTTTCCCTTAAATATTAGGTACAATTCTCCAGTTAGGCCATCTGGTCTAGAGTTTTCTTTTAGCAAAAACTTAAATTGAGGACTCAGTTTCTTTAATAGCTATGAGACTCTTCTGGAGAATTTCTTCTTGTGTCAGTTTTGCTAATTTGTATTTTTAAAGTAATTTATCCATTTTGTCTACATTTTTAGATTTATTTCCAAGGAGTTGTTCATGATATCCTTTTGTGATTTTTGCAAGATCTGTTGGATATGTAGTAACATTTTCTTTTTCATTCCTGATATTCTCTATTTTTGCTTCCTCTTCCTTGCTCTCACTTTTATTATTTTTCCTTTGTAGTCTTGGCAGGGCTTATCGATGCTATGAATCATTTTATAAAGCCAGTATTTGGCCTTCTGAATCCTCCATTTTTTATGTTGAGTTTTCATTTCATTGGTTTCTGCTTTTATGATTATTTTCTTGTTTCTTTGGGTTTAATTTGCTGTTTCAAGGTTCTTAGAACACTTTCACTCTGTTTATTTTCTTATATGCTACTGTTGTCATGTATTTTTATTCTTTACATGTTTAAGCCCCACGAAACATTATTACTACTGTTTTATAAAGTTAATATTCATCTATATGGTCCCACACTTTTATATTTTCTTTGCTCTTCATGCTTTCGTAAATCTCTAAGCTTCTCTGTGAGATCGTTTTCCCTCTCCCTAAAGAACACCCTTTTGGCTGACAGCTCCCTATTACAGAAACTGGCATTTAGAAAAGTGTGGGTGATCATGAACCTCTGATTCAACTACCATTGGCTTTCCTTGAGAAAAGGAAAGACTTCTTTCAAGAGATTCTGGTTTGCATATAGATGTCAGTACTTTCTCTTGCCTATCTGATCTGACCAACCTTGAAGACACCTGATTTTAGCTAATGAGTTGAAAACTTACTTTGATGAACTGTGACATAGGCCCATCCATACTGTGATAATCACCAGACCAAACAGCTCCCTATAAAATAACACACATTTCAGATTTTTGAAGTAGCTACGAGTGAGATACGTATCATTCCATTCTCTCCCATGACCACTAGCCTCTGCTGATTATTGAATGACCTTCTCCCAAGATACACAGCATCTACAGAATATTTTCAAGTCTGGCCATGATTCAAAAGTTAGTTTTTTTCAGATAGCTTAACGCCTCATATGAAAATAGGTTTTATCTTATGAGACGGATGTGAGCTCCATCCCTGTTCCCCAACTTCTAAGTGAACAAAAAACCCCAGCAAAACAAAAAACACAAATAAATCACTGATTTCAGGTCATTAGAAGGAATATAGTACAACCAAGAAAACTATCCCTGATTTATCAGGCATCAATTTTACATTGTTTTAGAGTGTTCAGTGTTAGACAGGATGAACTCAGATCCATAAATATGGAGCACCTGCTGCCGGAGATTGGGTCACATCTTAGGGGAGAGGAATGATTTATAGTATGAGTCAGACTAATGGTTTTGGGGTGGGTATATGCTTCTAGAAGTATGTGTTAAAAGCACACATATTTTACATAGAGTAGAAAAGTCATATTTGGCCATGGTACCACTAGAAGCCCACCATAACTCATGGGCCTCAAGTTGGTGGAAGTGATTCAGCCCATTGGGTTGATGATCCCACGGGCAGACCGAATCTGATTTGCTCTCCAGTTTCCCAAGGATTAGGGCCTCTAACAAAGTAGCACCTTGCCAGGGATGATTACCTTCTACGTCTCTAAATCTTAGTGTTAGCAGTAGGATGGACAGGAAGGAAAAGGGGCTATGCGTGAGGCCAGGGAGTCAAGGGTGGGAGGAAGCAAAGGAAGAGGTGATGAAATAGGAACACATGGCCTTGGCAAAGGGAGGAGATAACATGGGACGTAGCCGGGCAAGGCTGACAGAGGTTGACTTAACATACTGACCTCTGAAGTGGCCGATCACACTTGTAGAGAAGATTTTGGCCAGAACCACAACTAAATCAGAATGCTGATGGAATGATCAGCATTCTGGACTGAGTAGTACTGTATGGCGTCCTTGCTCGTTCACTGTAAGAAGCCAAGGTCAACTGCCTGACGGTAATATAACGCGTGTGCTGACTGCCTCTGGCCGTGGTTGCGGAACGTGGTACCTGGTGCTGGCTTATTTCCTGCTTCTTCAGCTTATCAAGGAGCTAATATCTCCCCTGCTCCTCAGGGTGTAGTTGGGGGAGCTGAGTCATCATGGTGCGGATAAGGGGTTACAGAGAAACAGATTTCTCAGTTCTACCCCACCCCTTCCAAGGAGCAAAAGTAAAGTCACGGCTCACCTGCCTTCTTCCTCATGTAAGATGTTCTGTCGGGAGTGAAGCCAGAGGTGGCAGGCCAAGCCGACAGCCCACGCGATACAAAAGAATATGTGTATTGCAGAGGCACTCTTCCAAATTAAGTTGCCTAAAAATAGAGATTCCGGTGCTGTTAATCATGGAACCACACCCCAGAGAAAAACGATCTCTTCGTATCTGCTCTGCCATAGTCTGCTTTCAGATAAAGCCTTCAGAAAAGGCTGGGATGGCGTCTGGCTGGCTCAGTCAGCAGAGCGTGCAACTCTTGATCTCGGGGTCATGAGTTCAAGCCCCACGTTGGGTGTGGAGCCTTCTTAAAAAAAGGCTGGGGTTTCTTTAAGTTTTGTTTTGAGGGACATCACAGAGGTTAAAGCAGTAGGAATAAACTTAGGTGGACGTTTAGTGTTTTGGTTGTCCAGCGTGTCCCCTTTCTATGACAACTACCCTTTATTTTCCTTGGGGAGCCACCCAGGCCATGTGTCCCAGACCATTGGACCTTAGCTTGATTAGTTGGCATTTTATCCCTTTAGCAACTGTGATTTGGCTCCGGATGAACAGATGACAGATCAGGAACCACAGCCCAATTCTGAGACTTCTGCGGAACTATCTGGGAAGCAGGTTCTATCTTCTGTTGGACAGAGCATCACGAAGAAGTGAACTTTGAGCTGCCGGGCTACCATCAAGGAGCCCAGGACTGAAGTCAGAGTGGCACACGGTGGGACTGCGAGGTGCAGAGAAGCTCAAGTTCTGAGCCACCAGCAGCGTGTGAACAGCACCACCCCTGACTTTCTCAGCCAAGTATCCCAGTACGTCTCCTTTTCAGCTCATAGCCCATTTGAGTTGAGTTTCTTCCTTGCCTGCAACTAATGGAGCCCGAACTAATACACCTTAAAGATGCAGACAAGAGTTCCAGGCGCCGTACAAGGAGCCCGTGCATCCAGGGGACAAGAGTTTTCCCCACCCAGCTGGGAACCATTGGTCTTTCTTCTAAGGCCCGAGAAGTCTGACGGCCCACTGGGCAGGAAGCTGCTTTCATGACAGTGAAGAGTAACCCATCAGGACTGACAGTCCCTATTAATAAGAAAATGTTAGCACACAATGTAAAATGTACTTTTTTTGGTTATAAGACACTGTTTTATGGTATAAAACTGTCCAACTTACGGTTTGTTTAGAGTTTAGGGCCGTTAAAAAGCAAAGCCACTATGTTTTGCTCAGCATTGAGGTAAGCAGCCTGTGGGTGATAGAAACCAGCTATTTTAAGCGACTTTTTTTTTTTTTTTCACCTGTATACCCACCTGGGATGGATATATATATATTCCAAGGAGCAGGAAAATATATGATAAAGCCTCTGTCTTAGAGCCATCCATTCACATTCAACAAGCATTAAGTACCTACCATCTTCCTGGCCATATTTCAGGGAGGCTTGGGCAAAGATGGGCTAGACACAGTCCCACTCTTAAGGGGCTTACAGCCTAGCAGGGGAAGACACATAAAAGCATGCAGTAAATTGCTGTACGTACTATGACGGTACAGAGGAAGGTTAGGGAGAGCAAGATGCATGAATGAAAAACCTAGAAATTTGTATGGACATTATAAACCATTTCCCTAAATAAGCAGCAGGCCATATACACGCGTGTTGAATGGATTCAAAGTGTGAAAGTGGTTACTGGGAGTGGTATTGGACACTGAGGGCCACTGACTAGAGAGACACAAGGTTCGTGCCCTGTTGCTGATTTTCCATTAGCGTGGTGGCGTAAGAAATCAGCGTGGTGACCGAGGCCCTCTCTCTCATGGGTTGTACTGCAGAACTCCTGTTCTACACTGGCCTAAGCGATCTCGGGGTCCGAGCTGCTAAAAAGGCTGTCTTGGTGTGGCAGGTCCTTGTGAAGTCTGCCTGAAGATGGGTGAGGGTGATCTAGATTAGAATTCGCCCTTCTTGTTATCAGAAATGAGGAGACCCGTAGGGCCCCGTTTCTCTCCCAGGAGTCTGTCCTTATTGTCAGAAGTCTGGTTTGCTGCATGTCCATGCAGAATCCAGGGTCCATACCGGTGACAAGAGGGTTAAGTCCCACAAGCAGGCTCAGCATCGCAGGTATCATGTATACCACCTGTTAGCGAGGAGGGAGAGGACAGGGGTTAGGGAGTATGCCCGATTTAGATGTTCAGAGGAATCTAGGAAGCACAGAAGGATGGTGAGACCTCAGAAAGCTGACTGACAGTGTGTGCATCAGTAAGATCAGGCTCTTCATTCTGGAAGCTGCTGACAAGCAGTTTGGGAGTTTGGAAGACGGGCGGGCCCTGCGGAGGCCCCGTTTTCAAGCCTCGTGCTCAGCAAGCGGACTCTAGTCAGACCTGCTGTGGCGTGTGTGTTGTGGGCACAGGGCAAGGAGGATAGGCCTCGTGGGTGTACAGGAGGCATGGTGGGTTTCCAAGAAACGTAGCTGCTTCACTGTATCAACTGTGATGCGCATGTCAGACATCTTCCCTTACTGGGAGCTGTCAGAGCTGTGTGTGTTACGTGATTTGTTTTCACCACAGAAACAGTTCTGTCTTGATCCCGGGAGAGAGGGCATCTGGATTACAGACCCTGTGTTCACCTCTCCTACTCCACCCCTAATGATGGCCAGGATGGACATTTGCAAGTCTGGTTGTCTCTCACAGGTAAAGGCATTCATGCTACTGAGGGGTAAGACCGGCGCTTCCCAAAGTTCAGTGTGTATATGAGTCGCCTGGAAAGCTTGTTAAAATGCAGATCTGATTCCAGAAGTCTGGGGTGTGGCCCACGTTCTGCTTTTCTAGCAAGCTCCCAGGGGATGCTGTTGTTCTGAGGTCCATGCTTGGAGCAGTAAGGGGTTAGTTTTCCCCTAATGAAAACCTACATGACTAGCCACTGAGAAGGAGAGGAAGAGAGAGCAGTTACACGCACAGCACACCACATTTACCTGTGCTCTCCGTAAGAAGTGTTTGGCAGAGATTTTTTTTTTTTTTAATGTGTACTCAAATGTATCAGATATCTGTCATTAACAGATTAAGGGGTCTGAGACCTTTTTATTTCTTTATATCGTAAACACATGAACAGAACAACCATCCTTAAATGCTTTTCTCTATCTCGAATAAGATAAAAAAATTCTTTTTGAGGACGAAGAGACTGAAAATAATGGTTTCTAGTATACAAGGTAAAATAATACCCAGCATACTCAACAATGAACTCTGTAGAACCCACTTATAATGGACTTTTATTTTTATGTTGGTGTATTTTTTAAACCTAGAGTATCATTTATTTACAATATTTAATTCACTATATAGTTCTTGAGTACCATGGCATTCTTTTTTTGTTGCTTTTAAAAATTTTTTTAAAAATATTTATTTATTTGTCACAGAGAGCGAGTGAGAGCGCACACAAGCAGAGAGAGAAAGAAGCAGGCTTTCCGCTGAGCAGGGAGCTGGACTCGGGGCTCCATCCCAGGACCCTGGGATCATGACCTGAGCCGAAGGCAGATGCTTAACTGACTAAGCCACCTATGTGTCCCAAGATCTTATTTTTTAAGTAATCTCTACACCCAGCATGGGGCTCGGACTCACAACCCTGAGATCAAGAGTCGCAGGCTCTACCGGCTGAGCCAGCCAGGCGCCCCCCCCATGGCGTTCATTCTTCATGTCTCTCTCCCTTGTCCACCTGCCATTGTAAAAGCTGAAAAAGCCAGTTTGTTTTCCCAGCATCTTCAGCTAGGGGTGATCATGCTCCAGCCATAAAATGTAAGAAAGTCTTGTAGGGGCAAGGCTGATACTCAGGGCATCTTAACAACCACTCTGCAGGGACACTGACCAAGCAGGATGAATCCCAGACCATAAACTGTATTGGTATGCACACACTGAACAGCAGCCTGTCTGAAGGGCTTCTTGGATAACGTTTCCTCCTTGATAAAAGGGAAGAAAGCACAGGAGGAAAAAGTGTTTTGCTCCTGTCTTGTTTCTTCCTACTTGGGATGCTCTTGTCTGGGCCTGATGTTTGGAGCTGCAGCAGCCATTCTGTAGACATGAGAGAATATATTGCCCACACATTGGAAGTGGCAGAGAAGGAACCCAGAAAGCCCAGGTCTTTGATGACGTTGTTGGCCATTAAGCAGCTGCCTCTGGATTTCTGGTTAAGTGAGATACTCTATTGTTATAACCTGATGCTAGTCAGATTTTCTGTCACTTGCTCCTGTATGCATCCTGATACAGGCATCCTCCATGAGCAAGATGAAGTAGGGGACTTGAAAATGAGTCAGGTGCCATTGACTTAGTATTGGCTCATTTGTGCATGCTTTCATTCAAGAGTCAATATGGAAGGGCTGCCATAGGAAGGCTCTGCGTTAGGTTGCCTGAGGACCACCAAGAAGAAGGAGGAACTGGTCCCTGGTCTCCTAGGAGCTGGCATGTACAGAACCAACTCGAAGTAAAGCAGAATGTGTTAGCATTAAAGGTTCAAAGAAAGGATGGTTGGAACCTATCGGAAAGAGGGAGAGGGAGTTTTTGAGGGACACAGCATTTGAGATGGACTTTGAAGCTTGGGTAGGACGTACAGGAATTCTAGGGGCAAGACACAGTAGTATTATAGGTGGTTCAGGTTCCAAGACCACGGTGGGAAGGTGGATTGGAGCCACACTGTGGTGGGCCTTGAGTGCCAACTTGGGGAGTTGTAACTCAGTGATCTTGGGAAATGAGGGAAGTTTTTGAAGCAGGAAGTGATAATGTGGAAATTGTTCAAGGACAGCAGGGGATTAGAGGCAGCTCCAAGAATTAGGAAGCTACTACAGGAGTCCACGTGGGAGGTGATGGAGAATGAAACTGGCGAGGAGGGAGGATGTCTGTGGGGACATGGTGTCTATTATTATTCATGCTATGTCCCCTAAGCATGAAGTGGGAGGTAAAGTATACACATACCGTACAGATAAGCGGTTAAACCTAGATTGGGTTTTGCTGGATTGCTTTGTTCTTCATTTATTTTTTGAAAGGATCTCAAAGGTGGTGGTAAGGAACCGAGAGATGTTAGAGATGCCTGTGGTTTGGAGCAAAGATGACCCCGAGGATGATTCTGCTGTTGACAGAAAGGAGTGAGTCAGGAGGAGGAGGGGGTTTAGGAGGGAAAGACGCTGTAGGAGTTTGGGGTGTTGGAGGGGTCAGTGTTGGAAATTCTACATTAAGCTGGGTATTGGAGACTTGTCTGCAGGGAAATAGTATTTGGAACTCAGGATATGGGCCAGAGTGCTGAGGAAGAGGCAATTTGATTCGATGCAAAGGCATGTGAATCTGGACAATAAGCAGTGTCAGAATGAGTTCTACTGCACTTAAAACACTGACCAGAATTTCGCATTACAGATCCACATGCTTTCATTTGTTGCTAATCTGTACACAGTCAATATTATTCCAAAGCAGAAAATCATCTCATTGGTGATACTGCACAGTCTTATGTATCTGTTTTCAAAGAAACTGGGCAAAATCCAGATATTTCAGAAAATGTACAGAATGATGTCCCCTTCCTCCAAATAGTTCAACCAGAGCATTGATTAAATGTATTCTGTAGATTTTTATGGGCTTTAGTTACTTTTTATAAACATAACTCACTGAATTAGAAGAACTGCAAACCCAAAGCCTGCCATTTTCTGGTCAAATGTTTGTTGGAGTTTCTGGGTAAAAAAAAAACTCATGAGGAATGGCTCAGTTGACTTTAGGAGGTCTACTGTTCTACTGTGTGTCTTCAGAAAAGTGTCCTCAGTTGGCCCATTTTTATTCAAAGGGAATACTGCCAAAAGGCCCCTAATGTCTCTGTAAGAGTCTGAATTCTCACACGCATCATTACATTACCACTCTGATCCCTCTCCCCGGATATTTTAGGGAAAAGGGCTTACAAATGATCTGATTTCTAAGTTTTTATGTACAAAAGGCAGGGAGGCGGGCCAAATAGATAAAACTGTGTGTTTCGTGCTGTTCCGCAGTTCCTGGAAAGCAGCTCATACTCACCATCCACAGTTCTGCGTCTGGGTCGTTTACCTGGAATAACAAAACATCAGGCATTAGCAGACATTCTGTGGCGCTGCAGCCCTCCGTTCGGTCTGCTCTTGGATCCATCCTAGTGATGCGTTTCATGCCAGACGCTGCACCAGGCAGCGAGGATACAAAATGGGAAAAAGACCTAGTCTAGCAGATCGTGGTGGTCGAGGGGCTTCTGGCTGAGCACAGCCACACGACTGTGTCCGCACTGAAGTCTGACAAAGGTGCTGTAAGGGCCTCCAGTCTTAAGGACAGCTCCTACGAAGGAGGTCCCAAAGCAAACTTGAGAAGGTACCCGCGCCAGAGCGGGTTCTGTCTGCCTCCCGCCTGGCCTCGGCCGTGAACCAGGCTGGGTCCCCATCCCAGGCTGCGTCTGCTCGTCCGCTCCTCCCAGCACGTGGCACGGGCGAGCGGTCCGGCGGTCACGTGGACACCTGCGTCTCGGCCGGGGGATGGGGTGGGGGCCCCGGGGCGCGACCCCCAATCTCCGTGCTCCGCGTACACGGCCCGCCCTGCGGCCGGGAAGGGCCGCGCTGGTCTACACCGCGCGCCGGGCCCGGGGGCAAAGCTCGAAGCCCGGC